AGCGATGGCCTCCACCCTAGGAATGCGTCCTTGCTCCTAGTAGTAAGGCCCCTAGTAGCCCAAGGGCTCCCGAATGGCTTCTGAGAGCACAGTTATCGTGAAAACAACCGGGAGTACAATTAGGAGCCCAACTTCCCGGGAGGCAAATTAGAGAAATCCACGATTATTTGAGCACCACTATGGGTACCCTTCCAGTGCCACATACACCCTTCCCAAGCCCAGCAGAGACCTTCGGCTCACGCCTCAAGCTGCACCTCCTGTTTGCTTCTCGACTCTGGGCTGCAAGAGTGGGATTCAGGGTGATCTATGCAAGGTTTTCACACAGGTGGCCTTGCACAAGACCAAGATACCATCTAATTATTGCTGCGGACTCTATGTTGCCTTTGGCAGAGATCCCGGCTAGCTTCGAAATTCTACCAACAAAATCTTCACATGCAAAGCCGTGCTCAAATCGGTGGTTCAATCCTTAGCTGGGTGGGTGCCCTGCGTCAAACGATTAAGACATCCAAGTGTAGATCATGCAATCATGTGCTTTTACCTTTTTGATGGTGTGGTATGGATTGTTGACCAAGTATCGATCAGTGAGCTGCTGGTGGCACAGCTCATGCCATGCCTCAATTGCACAGTTTCATGCATGTGTCAGACACCAACCTGGACCCTTATCTTGGAGGAGAGTCAGGGCACATGCCACTTCGGGCGTGCCGGCCATCTCAAAAGACCGGCATCAAGAGCACGCAGTGCCAGCTTGACGTACGCAGTGGTGGATGCTTCCTCAGAACACTGCACATCGTTTTCAACGCTCTAAACACTCTGCCCTGGGTATAGCTGCATAGCTCAATTGAACTTTCGGGAATGAGTGATGAGCTGAGCGATTTGCATGGTGGGTCGCACAGGTCAACTTGGTGGGACATTCATTTTAACATTCACAACCATATGCATCCAGGCATCACACATGTTGGCCATGTCCTTGGCCTGTGCCTCACTTAGGATCTGCCCTGCCCCTTCACCGATGGAATGGAAGCAGGCAGCTCCATGCCTCAGGACTGTGCATTGGGGTATGGGAGGGAAGCCATGGGGTGATGTCAGGTTGTACTGGTGTACCCACCAACACTAGCAGGGTCCCAAACTCAGTTTTCGGACATGGTCATCTTGGAGAAGGGGAGCAAAGAGCAAGGAGCACTGACACCGCACGGAGGCTTACAACTCGTCAAAGCTGCATGCAGTGATGTGACACCATAGCCACAGGGTCCGTGTCAACGTCAACTGGGCAGGCACCCAACGCCAGGGCAAAAGGATGACGCAGAAATACAGGAAACGCTGCGGCCAGACTCCACCCGACAAGCTATACACATGCTGTTCAAGTTGGTGAACTACTTGGAAGATACAACCAAGTAGCCCTTGAATCCGCCGACCCTGGAGAGACAAAGCCATTCCAAAATTCCATAGGACTGAACATGTGGAAAAGTTGAGGCGGCCTGCAACATGATCCTCGACCTCAATGAAAGAAGAAAGTGAGAAGTTGTCAAGAAGTTGGACACCATTGAGGTGGCCTGGAACTGAACCCTGTTAATAAGATTTGAAGACCAATACCAATGCCAAGATACACACACTGCTGCATGAGCAGCCAATGCTCATCAACAGGATCTGCAGCCAAAACTGCATCAAGCCATTGGATCACCACACGAGCCTCACACAAGGGCCACCATCACCCCAGGTCCCTTCCACCACACCACATGCACCGTACAGGTAGTTTCACTAGTGATGACAGGAAACGTTCCAAGCTTTGGATTGAAGCTCAGGGTACGGATGGAGATAGCTGGTCAACTTCTTTGAACTGAACTTTGGCATGCTCTGTCTTAGATCGCGGAAGGCACTCCACAAAACCCGTACATACATATATGCAAGGCTAGCTATGCAAAGTCTTCCCACCCAAAAAATTGCACGTCAAGATAAGTCAAGGCTGTAGCCAAAGCGCTGCCACTTATGGTCTCTTGACCACTGCCGGAAGTCTTTGTAAGCTAGCATCAGTCGATCATCATCATGCATATCAGCACCGCCCCAAAGATGTTCATAGTCCAAAAGCCCTCTTAGGGTTGAAGCACTGATCCACAAATCAACTCCCAAGTTACAAGCGTGCATCGCATCCCAGCGGATTTTGCTAACCTGCATACCTCGAAGGTCCAGCAAAGGGCCTCAGATATTTAGGTCGGGCTGTCTTTGTGGCTGAGGCCGAACACCTAACCCTAGCATACAACCCAAAATGTACCAGCTATCATGAGTTAAGGCTCTCCTTGCCCCAGGCTTTATGCATGTTCGCAGGAAGGAGTCCCAGTCAATCCGGGTTTTGCTTTGCAGCATGTAGGGGCTGTCCACCATGTAATCTTGCTTGTGGGCATCGCAGCAATGGCACACCCAGTTGCACTTGTAATATCTTGAGAGACGGA